CACTGTGATTGGATGGCTTGAACTTTCCCACGCTGTGTAAAATGACACAGAGCACTGTGATTGGATGGCTTGAAATCCATCCAATCACAGTGCTCTGTGTCATTTTACACAGCGTGGGAAAGCCATCCAATCACAGTTTGGAGCTCAGTCTGCGCGGAGCCCTCCATGGGTGAAGATGGATAATTTTTTTGCGCTCGGGTTTTTTTGTTTTTCATCGGGTTTTTTTTTTTGCGCTCTGGATTTTTTTCTTTTTTTTAGTTCGACGGTTATGATGGTTTTTTATTTGGCCTTTTTTGGAGCTGAAAAATGAAGATTTGAGAAAAAAGAAGACGTTGAATGGTAAGTTTAATTTTATTTTACAGGTTAGTTATTTTATTCCCCCCTCACTATTTTTTAGGATGAGGGGGGTAGGTAGGGACATTTTATTTGGGGGGGGTGGGTGACTAGGGGATTGGGGACCCCTAGTCACCTTGGGGGGGAATTTACTTAGGGCCCCCACCTGCAGTAGGTGGGGGCTGGAGGGGGGGTGGACAGTAGGTCCCCCCCATTATCAATATGGCCCCCATCCGCCGCGCAGGGGTATGGGCCGGGGGAGGGCAGTAGGTACGCTCCCTCATTATCAATTTGGCCCCCACCCGCCGCGCAGGGGTGGGGGCCGGGGGGGCAGTAGGTACCCCCCTCATTATCAATATGGCCCCCACCCGCCGGGCAGGGGTGGGGGTGGTGGGGTACAATAGGTCCCCCCCTTATTGTTCATTTTAGGGCCCCAACCCACCGCTCAGGGGTGGGGGCCGGGGGGGACAATAGGTCCCCCTCTATTAGTATTTAGGGACCCTTTTTTTTTTAAACAGTGAGCAGCCACAGGCTGCTCACTGTTTAATAGACATGCCCCTACTCGCGGTATTGCGAGTAGGGGCACAATTTACTAATACTAATTAATTTTTACTTAGTATTAGTAAATAAATAGGGGGCGCTATGTTCGCCAGGAACTATTCGCCAGCGAACCGTTCAGGACATCACTACCCACCACCTGTTCACTTGATCCTATTCCTTCATATCTCATCCGCACTATGTCTCTCTCTCTTGCTCTTCCACTTACTAAAATTTTCAATCTCTCCCTTTCCTCTGGCACATTTCCCTCACCCTTCAAACATGCAACTGTAACCCCAATTCTGAAAAAGCCCAGCCTTGACCCCAACTCCCCATCCAACTACCGCCCTATCTCGCTATTGCCATTTGCCTCCAAGATCCTCGAGAGAGTTGTGTACACAAGACTGACTGACTTTCTCGAAACCAACTCTCTGCTTGACCCCCTTCAGTCTGGATTCCGCGCTGGTCATTCTGTCAAAATGGCTGTGACGAAAGTATCCAATGATTTAATTGCTGCTAAATCTCGCGGCCATTACTCTATCCTTATTCTCCTTGATCTTTCTGCTGCCTTTGACACTGTTGATCATCAACATTTTCTTTGCATTCTCCATAATTTTGGTCTACGGTATACTGCTCTCTCCTGGTGCTTCTGCTACCTCTCTCAGCGCTCTTTTAGTGTTTCTTTCTCTGACTCTGCCTCTTCCCCCCAACCACTCTCTGTCGGCATCCCCCAAGGTTCTGTCCTTGGTCCCCTACTGTTCTCTATCTACACTGCCTCCCTTGGTAAACTCATCAGCTCCTTTGGCTTACGTTATCATTTCTATGCGGATGACATGCAAATCTACTTGTCCTCTCCTGATCTCTCTCCGCCCATCTTGAATCGTGTCTCTGACTACCTCTCTTCGATTTCCAAATGGATGACTGCTCACTTTCTTAAACTCAACCTTTCCAAAAGAGAACTTCCCTCAAATGTTACTACTCCCGTGTCTGTCTCCCTCCAAGTCAATGGCGCTACCATCACCTCTACCTTGCAGGCTTGCTGACTGGGTGTTCTTTTTGACTCCAACCTCTCCTTCACCCCTCATGTCCAATCAATCATCAAATCCTGTTGCTTCCATCTCAAAAACATAGCGCGCATCCGCCCCTATTTAACCCCGGATGCGACTAAGGTGCTGGTCCATGCTCTTGTTCTCTCTCACCTGCAATATAGGGAAGGCAGGTGCCTACTCTGCTTTAACACCAGCATGTACTCATTCTCCATAATTTTGCGACTAAGGTGCTGGTCCATGCTCTTGTTCTCTCTCGCCTGGACTACTGCAATACTGTTCTCAGTGGTCTTACATGTTCCCAGATTGCACCGCTGCAATCTATAATGAATGCGGCGGCGAGGCTCATTTTCCTGTCCGCCCGCACCTCTAATGCTTCCCTGCTCTGTCAGTCCCTACATTGGCTTCCAGTTTGATATGAGGCTCAATTTAAAATTCTGGTGCTTGCTTACAAGTCCCTACATAGTGCTGCTCCAACCTACCTATCCTCCCTAATACACAAGTATGTCCCATCGAGGCACCTACGCTCTGCCAAAGACCTATGTATATCCTCTGTCCGTACTCCCACCTCTAACGCTCGCCCCAAGACTTTTCCAGGGCTGCACCTCTTCTGTGGAACTCCCTTCCCTTCTCCATAAAAATTTCACCCAGTCTCCACTCATTCAAAAAATCATTCAAAACTCACTTCTTCAAGAAGGCTATCAATTAAACTGTTAGTAGGTTTTAATCCCCCACCCTCCATGACTCTTTCCTGCAACTGTCAAAAATTACCTACTAAGCCCTCAATTAATACTTTTCTAACAACCTACTTCGTACCCCTACTTTTACCCTTTGTGTCACTATACCCCACTCCCTCTAGAATGTAAGCTCATTGAGCAGGGCCCCCACCCTTTGTTCCTGTACGTTCAGTTGTCTGGTTACAATTACATGTCTGTTAGTCCACCCATTGTACAGCGCTGATGGCACTATATAAATAATAAAATAATAATACAAAGAGTTGTCATTAATGGTAAATGTTCAAGTTGGACAGAGGTGGCTAGTGGTGTCCCTCAGGGTTCTGTTCTGGGACTCCTTCTATTTAACATGTTTATAAATGATCTTGAAAAAAGCATTGAAAGTCATGTTTCAGTGTTTGCAAATGACACAAAACTGTAAAGTGATACAATGTGAGCAAGATATTACTTTGCTGTAGAGGGATTTAGATAGACTGGGGAGCTGGGCACTCAAATGGCAGAGGAAATTTAATGTTGAAAAATGCAAAGTTATGCACTTCGGCGTAAAGAATGCACAAGCAACATATACCCTTATTGGAAGCCAATTAGAGATAACAACACACAAGAAGGACTTGGGAATTGTTATAGACAAAAAACTATGCAACAATGTGCAATGTCAATCAGCAGTGGCTAAGGCCAGTAAGATATTGTCATGCATGAAAAAGGGCATTCATTCTCAGGATGAGACTATCATTTTGCCTCTTTATAAATCTAAAGAAGGATATTATGGCACAAGAAAAAGTGCAGAGGAGGGCTACAAAATGAATAAAAGGAATAGACCATATCAGCTATGAAGAAAGGTTAACAAATTGAAACCTCTTTAATTTAGAAAAACGTCACCTGAGAGGGGATATGATAACATTATACAAATATATACGGGGCCAATGTGTGGAAATCTATTCACAAACCAGACTTTACATAGGACACAAGGTCATGCGTTTAGACTGGAAGAAAGAAGATTTTGACTAAGGCAAAGGAAAGTTTTTTTTTTACTGTAAGAACAATAAGGCTGTGGAATTCTCTGCCTGAAGAAGTGGTTTTATCAGAGTCCATACAAATGTTCAAACGGCAACTAGATGCATACTTGCAAAAACAGAATATTCAAGGATATAATTTTTAAATGTAGGGTAATAGCTGCTTGATCTAACTGCCATTCTGGGGTCAAGAAGGAATTTTTTTCCTAGTTTGTTGCAAAATTGGAAGAGCTTCAAACTGGGATTTTTTTTGTCTTCTTTTAGATCAACAGCAAAAACAAATGTGAGGAAGGCTGAACTTGATGGACGCAAGTCTCTTTTCAGCTATGTAATTATGTATACTATGTATCATATTTTTCTTTTCTCTTTTAGCTTAAATGCACCATTTTTTCTTGGACTATATCTGGATGAATTTTACTTCTGGATAAAGGAGTTTTCGTTTCAAGGGTTCCTGTTCTGTTGGTTTTATTTGGTTCCAGTGTTATAGGTCTTTGGGTGGCTACGCAAGAAAGAGGAGGAGTCAATGAGTACCACACCTTTATGGACTGTACTGCATCCTGAATGGTTGCAGTGTTGCTAAGCTATGTTATGTTTTTTACAAATACACAATAGGTGGAGCTGTTAGAATACTTCATGTAGCGGAATGAACCTTGGACGCTCACCCTTATTTCTGCTATGGGCTGTCCGTATCTTGTCTCCCCTGTTATTTCCTATGTTTCGTGCTCATAGTCCCTGGATCATCTTGTTATGTCCCCTGTTTGTCTGGCCATTCGGGAAAATAACAGCCATCTCGCCTATTAACACCATCGTGTTCAACAAACGAACAAATTACCGAATGCCAGACCACCCATTTGGGGAGTGTGCGGCTTGTTAACCCCAATAACCCCTGTTCACACCTCTACAAACCACAATTACATGAATGTTCCAAGCGGTCAGCTGGGTGGTCGCCGTTCGTATGTGTGAACACGTGGCGGCGGCCATCTTGGAATACGAACAGAGACAGCAGTGTTTGGTCGTCAAGTGTATGGAACTAAAATCGGACACTCAGTGGCGTGAACACTGCTGGGACTTCCACCTTCCATTATATTTGTAGGGATTTCGGCAAACCGAGTGGCGTTCAGGGAGAGCAAACTCCCGAACAAGATACACCTAACGAAGGTATGCATGAACAGTTTTGGATGGGTTTTTCATGCAGTTTATACTCCCAAAAGAGACCGACTGCACAGCCTGAAGCCACAATCCAGCGAAACGCGTTTTGGTGAATTTTGGGCTATTACTTTTGCTTTTTCTTTTTTATTTTATTATACTCAATAAATTTGTTATTTTTTTACCTGGACCTGCTACTTCATCATTTGGGAAGGCATCATCTTGATCACCTTCCTCCAATTTGAAGTGGGGTTTGGATCTCCCCAAGGATCCTAATGAGTTACACATTAAAGCCAGGTTACTATATGGCTCTATCTTTGTGAGTGTGCTTTTATTAAGAATTAGACACTTTATGTCATAGAAGGTTTAATCTGCACTATTGTGTATGTTACAAAAGGCCTTTTGTAACTTTTATTTTATGCGACAAATTGCCCTGCTTCCCTGTATTATGGGTAGGGACATTTTATTTGGGGGGGGTGGGTGACTAGGGGATTGGGGACCCCTAGTCACCTTGGGGGGGAATTTACTTAGGGGGGGGGTGCTCCCTACCTTAAGCCTAATTGCCAGCCTTCTGCCCCATGACTATGGACCTAGTATGTATGGCGATTTTACTGTGTTTGTGGGATCTGAGCACTGTTCGGATATATTGAGCGTTCAAATCCAAGCTATCTGGGGGTAGGTTGAATGTAGGGGTTCTGTTCAGAATGATAGGTGTTATGTATTTTTGTGTATTTTTGCTGTTGTAAATAGAGATATTTTCTGTACCTGGAGATAGTTGGCTTACCACACCCAGTTAAGCCAATTATCTCCAGGATAGAGGAGAAGATAGACCAGCTGCACAGCCTAACTCTGTGGAACTGGTTTGGGCTAGAAAGCCATGCTTGCAGTCAGTCACAAAGGACTTCCATATAACTTTTGAACCACTGGACCAATTTGTATGATTTTGACATATGTTTGTATACTGCGTATGCTGGTTCAAAATATGTAAATTTTATGTGAATGTAATGTATACTTTTAAAGTTATGAATATTGTGCAAAACTGTGTATTTTCCTGCCTGTGATAATTACGTTAGCCCATTGTGTTCAGTCATTATCTCACAGGCAGAGGGGAGGATTTTGCTGTAATGACTGGGAGTGTCAGACATTGTTATATTGTTTTGATTGGTTTGTGTCCTTTGTGTGCCTGTGTTCCATCAGGTCCAGGGGGTGTGCCTGTATACATTGTGAGTGCTTGCTTCCATTAAAAGGAGAACTACTTGACCCTCTAACTCGCAGCCTCGACTTGTGTTTGTAGGGGACAGCTATAATCACTACAGGGATTGTTATGCTCTTCATACTCCCTTAGCTACTGAGCTCTTGTAAGAGCTCTTGTTCCTGATCCTGCTTTGCTCTACAGAAGGAAGAGGTTCACCCACTGGAACCTGATCTTAGGTCCAGGGTGGATAGCAGACTGTGAGATACCAACCTAGCAGTGGCGGTTCGTGGAGTCTGCGGTACTTATGGTGTCTACGGTGCTGATGGTCCTTTGGTGAGCACTAGGAGCATCCTTTCTACGGTCCAACTTTCAGCTAGCCTGGAGATAATCGTAACAGTGTATCCCTCAGTTTGTATTTCAGCATACACTGTTACATTAAGAAAAGAGGGAAGTATTCTAACAGCTCCACCTATTGTGTATTTGTATTATGGATTTTAAGGTGTAGGTCAAGCATGTCAAACTCAAAGTCTGGCATGGGCCACATAAACACGGTTTAAGTTTAGGTGGGCCTTAAATTTTCATAGAAACATAGGTTAATTTTAAAAAGTACAGTATAAAAAAACCAGCATTACCCTCTACTAAACCACAGCACCCCCTCTACTAAATCCCAGTCCCCCCCTACACCACCCTGTGCCAAATCTGATCCTCCCGCTGACACACACACATACTCACAGACAGACACACACATATAGACACACTGACACACACACACACTGACAGACACACACATACTGACAGACACACACACATTCTCACTGACATACACACATACAAACACACACATACCCACTGACAGACGCACACACACTCACAGACAGACACACACACAGACATGCACACATACTTACAGACAGACACACAAATACAAATGAAAGAACAAGGGTTTCATTGCACTCAACGTAACATGCTTAAATGGAGTGCTGCTGGGGGGTGGGGAGGGGGGGCAAATACATACAGTAAAAAATGAGAAACCAGCACACTCCCTATCTACTAAACAGCTACTTTTGTGCTGACAGATTTTGTAAGTTTTATTAAAAACAATGGGGATTTAGTTACATTATATGATCATACATTGCATAAGCCTGCCACAACGTCAATGTACCCCATGTTCGGCAGGTCCTACTCTAACTGCCTAATGTTTGCTAAATGAGCTACTCACTTGGGAACATTCTCTTGGGTTCTCTGCAGTACAAGGCCAAATAGAATCCTGAGATGAGGCACCTGTGACAGGGAGGGGTGCAGAACCAGGGAGCAGGCTAGACTCCTATATATAACACATACAGACATATAGACACACTGACAGACACACACACACTCACTCACTGACAGACACACACATACTTACTGACAGAAACACAAACATACACACACACACTCACTGACAGACACACACACTCACACACTTACACATTCTTGCACACACATACTTTTCTTTATTGCTCCCTACCTTTTGGAGCTGATGTGGGTCATCTCCCCGGGGTCCTTCTATCTGCTCCTCACTGCTCCCGTGCGTGGTTTAGTGATGCCGGGTGCTGGAATATGACATCATATCACGGCACCCAGCTTCACTACAGACGGCGCGCTCGAGGGAGCAGTGAGGAGCAGGAACAGGAACACTGAGCTCCCTTGCTGGCTCTCCTTTCCGACCGGGTAAGTGTTAGCAGAGTAGGCACCTGCAATATAGGGAAGGCAGGTGCCTACTCTGCTTTAACACCAGCATGTACGGCATAGGCGTCCATGTGAGTGCCAGCAGGGGGAGTGCCTGTAATGACAGGTACTCCCCCTGCTGTCTGAAAAAAATAATAAATGTTAAAACAGTGTAAAATTAAATTATATATACTTAGATCATATATATATTTATTATATATATATATATGATCTAAGTATATATATATATATATATATATATATATATCATATATATATATTTATACACACACACACATATATAGACACACACACACACATACATACACATAAATACACATACACTGTCTAAGTATATTTTAATATTTATATATATATATAATTATATATATATATATTAATATCGAAGTATACACGTAGAATGATATTGATTAAATATATAATTATCATTATATATAAAATAAATATGTAAATACGTTAAAAAATAACAATAAATATATATATGTAAATTCGTTCTAACTGTATTTTAAAATTAATATATATATATATATATATTGATATCAAAATACATGTAGAACGAAATAATATATATATATATATATATATATATACATAAGTATATACGTATATATCACTATATACATATATACCTATATATAAATAAAAATATTTTTAAAAAATTATATACACATATATATATATATATATATATAAATATATATATATACACACGTTTATATATATATAATAATTCTATGTATATATTTATGTAATAATTTTACATAATTAGGTCATTTTATTAATTACAATTTGTGGGACCTGTCTGACAACAAAAGTCCAGGGAATTTGATTTGCTAGCACTATATTTAATCCCTGTAACTTTCCAAGACACCATAAAACCTGTAAATGGGGGCTACTATTTTACTTGGAAGACTTCACTGAACACAAAAATTAGTGTTTCAAAACAGTAAAATGTATTAAAACGATATCGTCAGTGAAAGTGACATTTTTGCATTTTTGCATTTTTCACATACGAATGGCACTTACATGGACATATAATTGCTGTGATACGTTTTACTGTATTGAAACACTAATATTTGTGTTCAGCGAAGTCTCTCGAGGATAACAGTACCCATCATGTACAGGTTTTATGGTGTTTTCAAATGTTACAGAGTCAAATATAGGGCTTGCGTTTCAGTTTTTTCACATTGAAATTCGCCAGATTGCCTTTGAGACCGTATATTAGCCCAGGAATGAAAATTACCCCCATGATGGCATACCATTTGCAATAGTAGACAACTCAAGGTATTGCAAATGGGGTCCAGTCTTTTTTAGTGGCCACTTAGTCATAAACAAAATTGGCATTCAAATTAGTTTTTGCATTTTTCAGACACAAACAAATATTAACACTAACTTTGGCAAGTGTTTGTAACCAAGTGGCTACTAAAAAAGACTGGGCATACCCCATTTGCACTACCTTGGGTTGTCTACTTTTGCAAATGGTATGCCATCATGGGGCTAGTTCTCATTCCTGGGCTACCATAGGGTCTCAAAGGCAACATAACCAATCTGGCGAATTTCATGGGAAAAAAATGAAAAATGTAACGTGCTATATTTGACCCTGTAACCTCCCAAAACACCATAAACCTGTACATAGGGGGTACTGTTTTACACGTGAGACTTTGCTGAATACAAATATGTGTATTTTAGTGTAGTAAAAGCAAACAGTATTATGATATTCACAGTTAGAATGTCACATAGAACTAAAATATATTTACAAATTCCTATTTTCACCCATTTTTTATATTTTATTCATATTAAATTATGTGACATTTATGTTTTAATACGTAAATATTTGATGTTAAATGAAAACCCTGTTTCCTCTGAATAAAGTAATATATAATAAGTGTGGGTGCACATAATATGTTTTTGTTTACGTTGTGTTTTGTTCACAACGTGTACATTTGGCTCAGTCCTTAAAGGGTTAATATTTGGATTCATTTGGTCAATTCCCAAACACACAACTCACTATCTAGTGAACAGGACCCTATAACAGTAGCTTTGTTTCTCATAGTAAACCATCCTCTGAAAGAAAACACACAGAGTTATTAACTAAAGTGAGAATTCAAAGAGAATTTAAAATTTCAGGGCCAGATTAGCTGACCTAAAAGTGTTGCTGGCTTGAATTCTTACTTTAGTGAATGACCTTAATAGAAAAACACAATTCACTTTGTTTTGATTTATATGACCACAAACTTCTTACAAAATATAATGTAAAATTGTTTTAAGAGATAGTTGGAACTACAAGAAAGTTGAAACTATCATGACAGTAATCTAGGGTAGAACATGAAGGAATTTGGAATTGCAATGCATAACAGGGGTCTTCAAAAAGGTTAGAATTGCCAGGAATTCATAGTAAATTCAAAGTGGATTTCAAAATTTGAAGAAAATAGCTGCACTGAACAAATACAGAAAAAAGTCAATTCTCTTTACAATTTGTTTTGGCCTTAAATTTGAAATTCACTTTTAATATATTATGAATTCTCAGTTTCCAATTCGTAGTTTAATTAATAACCCTGTAAGTGTACAAATCATTTTCACAATAAAATGTAAAATAACTAAAATTGTTAAAAGGGAAACTGTAAATGGAAAGCAGTACAAACAAAAAAAAATGTTTGTCAGGCACATATTGAATCTATAAATAATTAGGAGTGGTTCAAAAGAAAAGTCTCTCTTATGTAGAAGAGTGGGTCAGAGGTAAAATGGAATGGCACTACTTCTGAATGGTATTAGAGATAAAGACCATCTTTAGGGAAATCTGTAATGGAATTATTAGGGGGCACTGCTGAACTTTAGGATTGGACACCTATTTAAACCTTTAGTGAAATGGGTTGTTTCACTATGGATCTCTGACAATGGTGTGATACATAAACACAATGGTGTGATACATAAACAGTTTTCACTCAGACAAGAGTTAAGTAGATTGTAATATATGATTGATGTACTGAGGTATTGTACTAAACATGGATGATAAGCAAATCAGCCTTGTATATGGAGACATAGGTCTTCCAAAGTGCACTACACCATTACTGTTGACATATATTCCCCTTTTACTTTCTTTTTGTGTAGTTAGGTGGAGATTAATACATTAGATATTTCATTGATAAAGTATTTGTGTCACGGCCCATTAGAACTGTATGTATATGACTGCTGTAGTCTATGCGAGTAAAATGGATTCAAAATATGCATTTTGAGTAGGTTTTGGCTCTATATCGTTCAGGGTGGAAAAGGGATATAGAAAGTGAGTAACATGTGAGGGGATACTGGGGGGTTCATATCTAGAATGAAACTGATCACTTGTTTCAAATAAATGTAAGTGAATAGAAAGTGTCCTTTACAACTGTACTCCAATTCTTTCATAGTTGCTTTTCAATCACAGCCTTTGATTTTGCACTAGTTTTAATGTATGGCTGGGGTTGGCAACCTTTGGCCCACAAACAAGACCAAAATGGGCCAAATAGAAAAATCTAAGGAGCCCCCTAGCTGGCCCAGAGTTCCCCATCACATGTAGTGCAAGGGAACTTGTGCTCTTCACCTCTAGTGGGTGTAAACACCACAGGACAATCTCACTTCATGATACAACACTTTTCTGTGATATAGAATATCTTCATGATTTACCATGGCAACTCTTTGACTCACAGGCAAAATGCCAGACAAGTAAGAAGAGGCAGCCCACACCACACATAAAACTATTATAAGCGCACACACCAGACAGTCTGCACACATACATAACACAACAGCATCCTACATACACAAGCAACACCACAGATAGTCCCCACTACACACAAATACTACACGTAACTTACATATATGCATTTATGAAAACCGGCCCACACACATGCTTCATGCTTCACACATCATGCACTCCACATCCAAATACACACAAGTACATGAACATTCTACATACACATAATACTGCAGAAAGCTCCACACACATAAATACCACAAACTTGGCAGACATATACATAACACAACATGCAGTCCACAAAAACAATACCACAAACAATTCACACAAACAGCCCATCAAGACACACACACAGTCACACAAAACCACAAACCGTCCACAGCCACACACAAAACCACAATCAACAACTTATACACAACACTGCACAAAGGCTGCATGCACACTCACATGCCAAAGACATCCCACACAAATACATAGTACTCAGACACTTAAAAAAATTTTTGTCTGGCACGCTAAAGGACTTCATAGTTTTACTTTGGCACAGCTATACCAAAAGGTTGACTACCCCTGATGAAGGGATTCTGTTTATCAGATCAACCTGCTATTTTGTGTTTCATTTGTTTATTTTTATTGTTTTATTAAAAAGTGTGGGGTTATTGATACCTGCATTTAGGGCATAGCTGGCATATTCACTCTTTTTCACTTTCTTGTTTATTGTTAAAATAATCTAAACAAAAGTGCATTATTTTAAATGATGTGTCCTTCCCTTTCAATCATCCCCTTTTAGGGTAGGAAATGCTTGTATCTATTTAGTGTTTGGAGGGAATCATCATATTATTAAAGAGTAAGTAACCATACCTCCAAAAAGGAAAAGCAATCCAGTCATAAACAACAGCAGATAGGCTCTTGCAAGTATGCTGACGAATCCAGTCATGCCTCCAAAGATCATCAGAATCAAACTGAGTGGTAATAATATAACCAATGTCCCATGCATGCCTGAAAAGATAGTTTGTTTTAGATCCATTAAGATGTCATTAAAGGTATGCTCTCAGCACTAAAACAACTTTAGCTTAATTAATCAGTTTTGGTGTATAGATCATGCCCCTGTAGTCTCATGATCATGCCACTGCTTGAATCTCCACCATTTAGGGTGCAAATCACTTTAGTTTACAGCTCTAGTCATACCTACACTGCAAGTTGAAAGTAATTTGTCTGTGTTTGCAGGTAACACAAAACTAGGTAAGATTACACAGTCTGAATATGATATAACTTCTTTATAGAAGTATTTAGATAAATTGGCTAGTGGCAGATGAGATTCAACACAGAAAAATGTAAATTCATGAATTTTAAAATAAGGAACCCACAAGTCACCTATACATTAAATTGAGTTACGTTAGGGATAACATTAACTGAAAAGAACTTGGTAACAGTTATAGATAACAAACTAGGCAACAGCTTGCCATTACAAAAGCTAATAAGGTGATTTTGTGTATAGAAAGTTGTATTGATTCACGTTATAAATCAATGTTATTACTCCACCTTGAATATGTGGTTTAATTTTGGGCACCAGTTTTAAAGAAGGATATTGCCGAGTTAGAAAAAGTGCAACAGCAAGCTATAACAATAGTATGGGTATGGAAAACATTAGGTTATTAGGAGAGGTTACAAAAACTCCATTTATTTTTGTTAGAAAAAAAGATGCCTCAGATTAGATATGATAGCACTATACAAATATATACAGAGGCAGTACAAACCACCATGTACTACTTATTCATTAGTAGGAACATACAACAGACAAAAGAACACCCACTGAGACTTAAAGCAGAGGAAAGGGTTCTTTACAGTAAGAACAATAAATATTTGGAATGCTTCACCTAAAAAGGTTATCATCAGAGTATTTAGATTTAATTTTTTTTTTTTTTTTAAAGGCTTGGATGCTTTTCGCATAAATAGAATAATCAAGGATATAATTGATATATATGTGAATGGGCTGTTGACCCAAGGAGATAAATAACTGTCATTATGGACTCAAGAAGGATTTTTTCCCTTTTTGTGACATAATTGGAAAATGTCACCATTGGCTTCTTTTGGATCAACAGCATAAAAGAATGGGTTTTGAGGTTGAAATTGATGGATTACTATGTAAACCTAAACCTAATAATTCTAGCCCTCTTTAATCCTTTCAACACAAAACACCCTAAAAACCATAATCTAGCTATGACCCCTACATAATCTTAACCCCCCTTAGTCATTAATTTTTAATCCTGAATGCATTTACACAGCTGCGTACACTCACTGCTTTCACATATTCTATCACATTATATTACAAGTAAAAATATACACACATAGCTATGCAATTGTCAAATATGAAAACATATTAAGATAGATTGGGGCACTCAAATGGCAGATCAAATTTAATGTGGAAAAATGCAAAGTTATGCACAACAAATGCACATCCTAAATGGTAGGGATTTAAGGATTAAAAGACACAAGAAGGATTTGGAACTTATTATAGACAATGAACTAGGCAACAATGTGCAATGTCAATCAGCAGTTACTAGGGCCAGTAAGGTATCATCATGTATAAATAGGGGCATTAATTCTGAGAATGAAAATATAATTTCACCTCACTATAAATTACAGGTAAGACCACATCTGGAAAATGCTGTGCAATTTTGGGCAACTGTTCTAAATAAGGATATTATTGCACTTAGAAAATGTTTAGAACGTTTAGTTTTAGTTTGGAAAAATGGCACCTCAGAAGGGATATGATAGCATTATAAAAACATATTCAGGCTAATACAAACTATTGTCTGTAAATTTATTCATAAATAATACTATACATAAGACACAAGGTCATGCATTTAGACTTGAAGGAATGATATTTAGTCAAAGGAAAAGGTTTTTTTTTTTACAGTAAGAACAATAAGGATCTGGAATTGTCTGCCTGGTGAGGTGGTTTTATCAGAGTCTATACAGATGTTTAAAAAGCTATTTGAATACTTGCAAAAACATAATATTAAGGGATATAATTTTTAATTAGTGGGGTAATCACTTCTTGATCCAAGGACTGCCATTCTGGAGTCAAGAGAGTTTGTTGCAAAATTGGAAGTGCTTCAAACTTTTTTTTTACTTCTAATAGATCAACAGCAAAAAAAGATGTGAGAAAGGCTAAACTTGATGGATGCATGTCTCTTTTCAGCTAAGAAACAATGTAACTATGATTTTTAGCAGAGCATGACATTAGAACTTCTAAAGTAAACACATTGTGCTATATGATGTGATTAAAAAAGTACCAAAATATTCAAGTTGACTGAGTTACAACCAAGAGATGAGTGGCTAGAGCTGGATAAGAAAAAAACAAAAGCTGAGGCATGATCTATACACCAAAACTGCTTCAGTAAGCTAAAGTGGTTTTGTGAAATAAAAACTTTAAGATTATCCATTTAAGATAATCCATTTACAGTAATACAATATAGTAATAATCAAAACATTGTGCATATAAATTATTAAACCGTAATTGGTAATTTAATAATAATTCAACACTTACATTATTTTTTGTAACTAGATCCAAATTAATAAACAGTATTTTGCAAATACTTATACAAAATCAAAGGCAAATAGGTCTTACAATTGATCCTAGAAATTACATTCCAAAAGCAGTGTTTACTAGGTTTACTTCATAAAAAACAAAAACAAAAAAACAACATATTAACCTCTTCATTTAAAAAGTAACATTTATTTAAAACTTGTTCATAAATAGATTGCATATATGTAGGATTCAGTAGTAGGTTTATGCTAAGATTGTTATTTAGGAAAACCTACAAATGGTAATTTACTGTTATGTACAATTTAATTTTTCATAGTTGTTTATCCTTTACAAAAATATAAGGAGATAAACTTCGTAGAGACCTTTACATGGCAAAATGTCAGTCTTAAAGAGCCACTCCAAGCAAAAAGTAGAGCCTCTGGTGACAGGGTTGTCCTGGTGATCCCCAGTGTAAGTAGACAAATCTGTTCAGAATAACTTTATTTCTTACCTGGGGTATCCCAGGCATTACTCTCTGCAACATCAAGGAGAACAGGAAGCTCCTGCTAAGAGCTTCTGTTAGCTCTCCTGAGAAAGAAAATGAAGTGCCAGGTCAGCTTAATGTCATTAGTTAATTCCTCTCAGCCAGATTTAATTCAGCCAGAGAACATTTAGCTCTCATGGAGGCTGCAGAAAAGTTGGGAGGAACACCTAGCAGACCACAAGTAAGAAGTCAAACCATTCTAAAATGGTGTGACTACTTACATTGGGGTGGCTCCACTGAACTTCTGGAAACATAACTGTGAAGGTTTTTCCCCAACTCGTCCGGTTGTTTCCACTCCCTGCTATTTTGTTCACTGGATTCATTTCGTTTAATTTATGTTGTTTGTTAAAATATTCGTTTTACCGAATGAAGACCTGCTTGACACTTTCTTGAAGCCTTGGCTCATGCTTGGGGGATGGGATAACTACACCCTGGGGATTGCTATAATCACACTATACTCCCCAGGGTAAGCTCTTGTAAGAGCTGTTCTTGTTCCTGCTACGCTCTCTGGAGGAAGAGAGGTCTACCCACTGGAAGCTGGATCATGGCCTTGGGTCCAGGGTGGGTGAAGGACGGCGAGACCCCGGCACAGCTGCATCACTGGAAGTGGGGTCTGCAGTGTTGATGGTGTCGGTTGGAGGGCTTGGGAGTCCTCGGCAAGCACTAGGAGCATCGATTGGTGGAGATACTCGGTCGGAGTGCCAGCATTCCGTCACAATAACCACTAACAATAACAACAGATGTGAGTAAAACAGATTAATAAAAATCGGATAAGTTACAAAAAATGGATAAGTAACATAATGGCATTTCTTAGAATGTAGCTTTCTCTGAATGTTCCAGAACATGTACAAAATGTCTACATGTGGCTAATAATCATCTGCAACCTAAAATACATCATTTAGTGTACTCATTGTGCTTAGTTCCCTGGCTTTCCCCCTCTGATACCACTACTCCGGCTTCTTTATGTTTTGGTGGACTACAATTCTCCCACACTCCCAGACTCAAATGTAAAGACGGTGGTGTAGGCATCCTTCTCTCCCCACAATGTACCTGTTAGCTTATCCTCCATGCCCCTGCCCTATCCTTTACTTCCCTTAAAGTTCACACTGCCCGCATAATTAAGCCCACTCCTTTAACAATTACCATCATCTATTGCCCCCGCTCCCGGTCATCCTAGGCTATTCATTGAACACTTTTCTTCCTTGTAAACCCCACTTTCTCATCTCTAGCACTCCTTCCCTCATACTTGGGGACTTTAACATCCCAATCAACAACCTCAACTGCCCTGATGCGTCCTGTCTTCTCTATGTAACCTCCTCCTTCGGCCTCACACAATAGTCTACTTCAGCAATTCATACAGCTGGAAACACTCTTGACCTATTCTCACCAATCTCTATACCACCTCTAATCTCTCCAATGTTCAATTTCCTTTATCTGACCACCATCTGCTGACCTTTGACATCAGCATTCCCCGTACCCAAATTTCACCACCCTCAACAACTCCAAACCTCCACTGCCTTGATCTCCAACATCTCTCCACCAAACTCCAAACTCTCCTTTTATTCATCTCAAATCTCACTTGCCCTAATCCTGCAACCTCACTCCCTCCTCTCAACTTGACATCATGGCACCTCCTACATTTAAATGCAGCAAGCATTCCCAAATATATTAAATTAAGGCCTATATGGTTTTCTCATTTGTATGTTTTTCTTTTTAAGCACTTAAGGACGGTGTTCGTTCTATGCAGTCCTTAAGGAGCCAAGCCTAAACGCCGGTGGGCGGCATAGAACGTTCCCACCGTCCTATGTACTCACCTGATTGCCGCTGTTCCCCCACCGGCAATCGGGTGATGGCCTGAACGCCTAGAGAGTCCCCCCTCGGGAAATTAAGCCCCCACAGGCCATGTGATCACTCTGAAAGAGCGGTGAC